TGTTCGCTGTATATATGTGCGTTATATTCGAAGTATGTACAGTTGTAAATGTTGCTGGTATTTATGGATTTGAAATGTGTGCGCGTGTGGGTGTGCGTTGTGTGCACGTGCCAAAAAAAAACTCATTGTGACCATATTTTTTGTATTACTTGCACTATATTGATGTTATATTTCTGTGCATTTTATTATTGTATGATCACAGAAAAAATATAAAAAAAAGAATCATGTTTAAATTTTAGAGATATTGTCCGATTATAATTGCCATGAATATATTATCTAACGTTCTCTTAACACAATGAAAATCTGCAACCTCAGCATACCTGCATTGTCAAGCATCGTAACTCTGTAAGGGAAAACTGAAGTGTTATATAAAACTGTAGTTATGTACACAATAAGAATAAATTATTCATATATAGAATAACTAATCACCTTTATCCGTGCCGGGATTTTCACGATTTCGAAACATTTTTCATCGCATCTCGACAAACTAATCTTGCTGCTCCAACAGTGCCATCCTTAAGACTTGAAGCTTCTTTACGGCTGCACTGAAAGAGTTTTACTGTACTGACGCGAACGAACAATGTCGTTGCTGCAGTCTAGTTGGTAACACGTGACCTATCATTTCCTCCTTCAATTCAACGCTTCCAAGCTTTCTAACTTTCCTACCCTATCATTTTAACCATTGATTTCCATAACAAACGTTTACTTTTCTAGCAACGAGTAAATCTACCATTGAATTCATAGCATTCAGTGACTTCTTTAGTTAGTATTGTTTTCCCTTAGCAAAATCATCGAGTAATGTATTTACACATGTACTATTTCAGAAACAAATATGAAATTTATATTCAGTTTAAGATTTAATTTTTACATCTGCTTTCGCTGATACAATATTACTGGTTTTTTGTCATTGAGGGTATTTGTTACCCTCTTGTAATGAAAAAAAATACAAAAAAAACCAGCCTTTAGACTTAGTTTCATCTACGAATGACAGTTGGTTCAACAACACCCGGAAGAGAGGAACTTATGTGTTAATTTATTAAAGATAAGTAAAATTAGTGATTTTGGGCAGCATAAATTGCTTGCTGAAGTGTATGACTGCACGTTTGTATCATTCTAACAGAAAATACTTCTAAAATATCTGCATGAAAGAAATATTCTTGAGCGAATTGCACGTGTACGGGTACATTGCAAAGCGAATATACCCTTATCAAATAGCAGCATTAGATGTTGTTCCAGAACATCTTATTACTATGTAAACGTATACTATTCATGTTTGTTAAATAACAGAGACATGAATTGACAGATTTCTTTCGAGGATTGTCCTCATGGGAACAACATAATTTTACTGTTTTATTAAGTTGGTCATGTTTTAAAACCATATTTGTTCCTCTTATAAAAGTTATAAAATTAGTCAAAAATCAGGTCGTTTTTAAAAAAAATGATATAATTTTCCTTATTTAATTATTTTATTTCAACAAATGTGCACAGATAACACAATTCAGTGTCCGTGTCGACTGTAATATTATCTATGTTTGTTTTTAAAATTGATGTTTGTTCTATTTACACCTTTTCAATTAGCATATAGCAGCTGTATTCTCTTACTTTTGATTGCTACATTACTGCAATTGTATAATTAAGTCATACTGTAACAAACAATATTCATCTCTTAACATTTTTAAAATATCTATTTATGCCTATTGTTTGCCAATTGTAACAGGTATCTTGCCCAATTTGCAAGACTCTTGCTCTGTAAGTCTTTCTTTTTCTCTCTCTTTCGATACATATATATTTCATATATGCACATTGTAACACTTCTCAAAAATCTAAATACAAGATACTGGTAGAATAACTTTTATTTAAGCATAACAAAACAACAATGATAAAAACCTCGTAAAGATCTGTGTATACTTCCGAAAACCTTTATGCATTGAAGTAAAAATTCTTTAGAACATTCCTTACAAGCAAATGGGTACTGCATGTATTTAAATAAAGAAATTTATTCGACAAACAACAATCGGTTTACTTTTTGTCTTGAAAAAAAAGCAAGAGCTGTCAAAGAACGTGACAAATGCCCCAAAGGATTCTAGTTATAAACCACCTATAACATGCTAAGTGTGGTGGTAAAAATGAACAAAGTTCGGACCCCAGCAGTGACCTTTTAGTTAGATAAAGAAACCTGGGCCTTATTCACAACACATTGTCCATCTATGGTGACTTTATATTTTTAAAATTGATACTTTCATGTATATGAAAGTTACAGAACGAACACAACAACCACCATTAATATGTATATAACATAAATAGTGTAAAAGGTTAAACCCCAGCAGAGACCTTGAACAAAAGCGTAGGAACATTGGTTTTAAGAGCAACACATCATACATATATGATTAATTCATATGTGAAATAAAAAATATAATTCTTTCATGCATATTAGTTTCAGAGTAGACGCGACCATCTCTTCCTATATGTATATTAACATCAAAATTTACAAAGTTTGAACCCAACAGTGACCTTAATCTTAGTCGTAGAAACCCCGAGTCTTGTTCGCGACACACCATACATCTATAGTTATTTCATATAAGAAAGAAAAATTACAATCCTTTCAAGCATACTGAAGTTTCAGAGCAGACATTACCACTACCTTGGCCTTAGTCGTAAAAACCCAAGTCTTGTTCGCCACACCATACATTTATAATCAAAATTACAATCCTTTTATGAATATCGAAACAACAACCACTTCTTTATTTTTTTAACATAAAAAATTACAAAGTTTGAACACCCACAGTGACCTTGGCCTAACTCGAAGAAACCTGAGTCTTGTTCGAGACACACCATATATTTATGGTTATTTCATACGTAAAAGATAATTAATATCCTTTCATGCATATTGACGTTTTATAGTGGACACGACCACCAACATCTATATTTATATTATATAAAGACGTTTGAACCTCCACAGTGACATTGACCTCAGTGGTAGAAACCCGAGTCTTGTTCGCGACACACCTTACATCTATGGATATTTCATACGTTAAAGAAAAAATTACAATCCTTCCATGCATACTGAAGTTTCAGAGCGGGCACGACTACCACAATCTATATTTACATAATATAAAAATGACAGAGTTTGAACCCCCACAGTGACCTTGACCTTAGTCCAAGGAACCCGAGTCTTGTTCGCGACACACTATACATCTATGGTAAAATATGTGAAAAAAATACAATCTTTTCATTCATACTGAAGTTTCAGAGCGGGCACGACTACCACAATCTATATTTACATAATATAAAAATGACAGAGTTTGAACCCCCACAGTGACCTTGACCTTAGTCCAAGGAACCCGAGTCTTGTTCGCGACACACTATACATCTATGGTAAAATATGTGAAAGAAAAATTACAATCCTTTCATGCATACTGAAGTTTCAGAGCGGACATGACCACCACCGTCTATATTTATGTAACATAAAAATGACAAAGTTTGAACCTCCACTGACACCTTGACCTTAGTGGTAGAACCCCGATTCCTGTTCGCGACACACCATACATATATGGTTATTTCATGAAAGAAAAAATACAACCCTTCTATGCATACTGAAATTTCAGAGCGGACACGACCACCACCTTCTATATTTTATATAACATAAAACATTTCATATATGAAAGAAAAATTAAAATCCTTTCATACATACTGAAGTTTCAGAGCGGACACGAACACCACTGTCTATATGTATAAAGCCGGACTGACAGACAGACGGACGGTTCGATTTAAATATGCCACTATTCTGGGAATTAAAATAAGCAGGACTTTGAGATAAAACAGATAAAAACGACGTTATAATTTCCCATATGCCTTTTAGGATTGTGTTACTTATTGATATAAATGCTATATACCTTATAATCCTTAAAATCAAATAAAAATTGGTTAAATTGATCAATATACTTGTGAAATGAATAAATGCATTTACTGGCAAGAATGTTCCCCTTTCATACTTTAATATCAACATAGCACTGGTCTGTATAAATATATATTTATAGTCTTTTTTCAGATTTCAGAAAACTTTTTTATCATTTCAAAAATAACTCGTCTGAATCTTGCACAATCGCGGATGTCACGGGCTGGTTTAGTACTGGAATCAATATCGTCATCAAAAAATTAATAAGGTCTCTTCGCATGAACCGCTCAACGTTTAAAGGGAGATAACGAACAACTTACGAACAATTGAATAAAACGAGTTACTTCCCTGAGTAGAAAATGAAAGCAAAACGACGAACATATAACATGCATTCAATTCTTTTACACGCTCATTTAATACTCTGTAAATTTTGAAGTGACATTATGCCTTTCTTACTAGTATAAATGCTTACCTACCGTCTATTTTGTTAAAAAATGGTCTCGTTAATCACTTACCGACCGCTTAACAGGTCTGAAAGTACATACTGAGCTAGGACATTATTTTCTAGCTCTCATAAAATATCTCCATGGTAGAATATGCTTTCGAAATTATTTGTAAGAATATTGACCTGAATAGAAGTTTGTGTTTGCCTGATATATTAATGAACACTATAACGCACATGGCTTTGAATGGCTTTGGAATGCTTTCCAAAATCACGATAAAGTACATGAATATAAGGTTTTTTTGTGAGTTAGATCAATTATTATTCTGAGTTAAAAAACTGATGTTTGGAAAGAAAACAAGAGAATGTAGGTAAAAGCGTTAAACCACTCGGAAAAAGTCTGCATTTCATTTACAGAAAAGGTGGCCTTCAAATCGTCGCTCAGGGCAGTAGATGCTATGTGGAGATATCTATCCCGCGCACGGTATTACTGAGTGTACAGGTTAAAGCCAACGTTGCGAAATTTGTTTTCAAATATATATTTCTTTGCAAATAACATCAACTTAAACTCATGTGTTCGAAGGAATCCATCGGTAGCGTTCGCTTGAAAAGAGTTGTTCAGAGAAAGAAAGGAAAAATATCATCTCTTTCAATTTCGCGATATTAAAGGTTCTGTTTATTTTTGTAAGCTAGTATAAATTCCTTTACACATAATTTGCAGTAAAATTTTGCTGATGTTTTTGTGAACTTCTTCCACTTCATATGATGTTTAAGTCCTGCACATGTACGATGCAACCATTGTGAACAGTTATCACAGGCTATCCACTCTCCACCCTCTGCTGTAGAACATATTTTACACTTAATCTCTAACTTTACTTCTGCTTGTGCTGAAGTTCCTGGGAGAGGAGAATGACTGTGTCTTGCTGAAAATAGTGGTTGCGAGGAGTTGCTTCTATTTTCTGTGATGATCTCATCGTTGCTTTCTTCTGTGGTTATCTCATCTTTGGTTTCTCCTGTGGTGATCTCGTCTTTGCTTTCTTCTGTGATGATCTCAACTGTGCTTTCTCCTGTGATGGTTTCACCTTTGCTTTCTTCTGTGATGATCTCATCTTTGCTAATTTCTATGATGATTTCATCTGTGATATTTTCTATGATGATCTCATCTTTGCTTTCTTCTGTGATGATGTCATTTGTGCTTTCTTCTGTGATGATCTCATCTGTGCTTTCTTCTGCGTTGGTCTCATCTGATTTATGTTTCTTTGTGCGCACTATTGTTTTTTCTTCTTCTTCAGACTTTCTTTTACTTGATTCTTGTGTTTGCGTCATGTCCGCCATATTTTCTTCACACCAAAGTTATAAAGTAGATCTTCTCTTATCTAAACTAAACAAAGCAAAGACAACAAGTAGACATTCATTTTTGTAGACAACTTATCAACAATGTTATCATTATATAACTTATCATACCTGTCAGATTTGTTATTGATTTAAAAAAAACTTTGAACTTGCCTCTCGTGTTTTATCACTGATACGTTTTTGTGTGTACATATTTAAACATTTCACCGCAATGTATGTGATAATTTGCCTTTTTCAAATTTTTAATTAGCAGCTTAATGAAAATGTTTGATGTTACATCTGTAATATTTCTTAAACCTCTTTTTAATTATTATTTTCTTTGAATATTTTGTAAAAAATCGGATCATGAAAGTTTTGTTTGAACCTATAATTTTATAAGTTTTGAATTATAAAAAGATGTTTCAGTATGGAGGTAACTAGGAACCTTAAATGAGGAACTTTGGTATCATTTTGTAAAAGTCGGACAGTGATTCATTGCAGGAACAAACAATTTGTGCCGTAAAAAAAACAACCATTATGGATGAAACTATTTACTAGTACAATGAGTAAAATGTAATTCCAGAGGTGATAAGAGGTTATCGTAGGCAGCTGCCGACAGATATTACAATTAAAAGCAGGCAAATATCATTAGATTGATTAAACATTACTCAAGTAGGAATATTGGGAACCAAATAACAAGTAAAGTTTTAAACAATAAATAGGACCACAAAGACTATAACATATATTACAGAATAAATGATCTTAAATGATTGGAAATATTTGATCTCTGCATAAAAGTAAAACACTGTAATCTAATACTACGCCCAGAATGTACATCGTCAAAAAACTTGCTAGACCCAGCCCCCTCCCCCACTTAAAAATAAATAAATAAGAATTCCAAAAATTCTATCATAACTATATTAGAAAGACATTACAATTTTAATTAGACCCTATACTTGTTCAAAGCGTATAATCTATTTATGAAGTCAGTTTGAAACAGAAGATAATGTTTGAATTTGCAACATAGTCTAAGGTTTGTCTTTGAAAGAAGGTTTTAAGCAAGTAAAGGCAAACAGTTTTTTATATGTAGTTTTTAAATGTTAAACATCAAATTCTACTATTCTAAAAAAAGAAAAAAAGAATACAGATCAACAAGACAAATCAAAGTTCACGTGGTATTTTAAGTTCCTTTTTTTGCATTTTTTTCTTCTTAAGTGGTTCCAATATTGCTGTTTGAATACTGCATAATCACCTTAAGGATATGATACCTGCTTCTTAAATCTGACTCTTGTCTCTTATATATAGGCCTCAAATCCTCTGATTCCTTTAATAATTCCAATTTATTACGTTCAACCCGTTCTTTTCTCGTGTAGGGCTCTAGCATTCTTGTACGTATTTTGGGTCCGTACCCCGCTTTTCATGGAAAGGCACTAATGTGTCACATTGAAGGATCCATAATAACCGCCATATGAACACATCTGCGGATGTTTTTAAATGCAAATATTTGCTCGATTTTTATGTTTAAATGTTGAATTATGTGGAATTCTGCATAAGCCAATGCTAAGGTCGTGGATGGTAGCTGGCAATTACCACTGCCGTCCATATACAGGCTAAGTCAATAGCGAGCTTGCAACCTTTTCAATTTTGTCGTTTGGGACCTTCTTTTGGGCTTCTGTTTATCTACATTTTGTCTTAACAAAGATAAGATAGTTACTTTGCAATCCATGGAATCAAACATACTTACATTAGGACCTAATCTAATGCTTAAATGTTATCTAGATTGAAAACAACAATAAGTAAATGCCATAAACAACCGAAAGCGAGTCGAAAATAGGTGAAGGACATTTTATAGGGCATAACATTAGATTTGATACAGCAAAAAGACATCAGAAGACACATCTTCTACATGAGCAATTTTTAAAACATCAACATCAGCATCAACAAAGAGGAAATTTAAATTTAAGAACCATATACAATAGAAGAGGTAGATAAATTAGACCTATAAGCAACACGGAATTTAAGATATCATTTACAATCATGAATGCTTCAGATGTTTCACATGAGATAGACACTGTGGTAGAAACTGTTAAAAAAATGTGTAAGCGCCCCTATAACCTTATAGATAAACCTGTAAAAGGTCGAATGTGCCGATGGTAAGGAAATGCATACTTCAGAAATGTGTTGTGTTTAAGCCATTCATTCATTAGTTTTATCATAGATGAGTCGATATGATCTGATGATAGTATTGATTGACTTATATTCAGTATGAAGATTGGAGAGAACTGGAATGAACGCTGAGTTTTTCTGTCTCCACCCTGACCAGGCAACAACGCAAGTTTAAAGAATATTTTGAGACACAACTAGTGAATTCGTTATGTTTTTTAATAAATGGCCGTAATACTGGTATTTAATGAAATATAATAAGTGTCATCGAAAAAATTACACCAGGCTTAATAAAAAATCGTTTTACTTAAAGAAACTTATTTGTCTTCTGTCTAAAGAGATCTGTTTTTATATGTCACTCTAATAAACGTCTAATTTACGTCTAATAATAGCATTTATAAATTAGCTTCATAAGTAATAAGTATCAAATTTGTGTTAACTGTCTGTTAGTTATATTTGTAAATTCTTATAACACATACTTGTTTGTTTCTTGTTATTTTTTGTTAACTGTTTATATTCATTATTAAAGTTGAACAATGTTTCCAAAATGAATGAACCTGCAGTATCAGATTTTATTTCAGAATCAACAAAAGTTATTTTATCTCAAACTCAAATCTATTTCAATATTTTTTGTAAAAGCACCTGATTCAAGTAATAACATAACTGGAAATAATTTGTTTCCATCGTCCATCGTAACGTGAATGTGTTACTTGACATTCATTATGTGCACAATGCTCTTTGTTAGGTTGCTTAACGAGTTTGTCTTATATGCGATCATATTTGTTTCATTCGGTTTATGGACGATGGATGTCTTAAAGAAAAGTGAGTCTTTAAACATAGTCATGAGAAGGCAGTTGAATTCCCCTCTATTGTATAATGTAATTGCTTTATACGCACTTACAAGCATGCATGCCAATTAATTTTAGCTAAGTAATTTTCTTATTGTAATAATTTGTAGTCATAAATGACATATAATCGGCTTGTTGTATTAAAAATTGAATCATTTTTATCGTATAAATCATCCATGAATTTTTATACTCGGTTAAGGACTATAATTATCATTTATTTATGTTATATAATCATGATTAAATAACATAACTTAATTAAATGGACTAGAGATCAAAAGATACAGAAACCCTTTATGTACATAAATTAGTCATTGTCACTTAAATTATTTGATTAATGTTAAGCTCATTTGAAAATAAATTTATATCTTAGTGAATATTTTTACAAAAAAGATACACCATTTTTTTTGTAATTAAATAATCATAAAATCTGTAGGGTTTCAATATTTAAAGATTTAGATGAAATCACAAATTAAAGACATCACAATAATACATTTAAAATAACATGACAATGATATTTTACAAGCGACTCGTTATTTTTTTTTATTTTATATTTTGTATTCAGTAAGAATTGTTTCTCCCTCGATATCTAGAAAACATGCAAGGGATATTAACAAACAGAGTTTAATGGCGATGGGATTATCAATCAGGTTAGCGGTCGGTAGCGCGCATGGTTGACGTTTGATAACTCTTTAATAAGGCAATGATTGTACAAATGTGTAACATCATAAAATACTAGTTCAAATTTGACCTAAGGCATTAATAATTAAATAAGTAATGCTCTCTACCATTTCATAATAATTAAGAATTCCAAAAGAAAACACTTTAACGAGGAAGGGATTGCTTTAATCAAAGAAGAAAATTGGTTATGGCCCTTTTTGATTTTCAAAGACTTCTAAAAAATAAAAAAGAGTGCGATATTTTTGTAGAGAATTGTAATATAGTTCTTCATATTTTAAAATTTGGTTTCAGAACATTTTTTTCCTTTGAATGGTCCTCTTATCTTTTTTGCAAACAAAAACATATCTCTGGATACTTATGTTTCTTTTTCAACACTCAATGGATTGATAAAGAGTGCATCTGTTTCTTGTGCATTACCATTTGCACCTTGACAAGATGATGTTAACTTAACGAAAGTGAATTTACCCGATAAGTTATGTTACACGGCCCTGTGCACAATCTTGGCATTTAAAGACGAAATTTTTATGTAGTGAAATAGTCATTGCAAGCGTAACAAAATTATGAGCACCTTCTCCCTCCTATTAAATGATAATTTTGTGTAAATCTGGTGTGTCAAGATCGAATCTAAGGAGAAGTACTTGATCACGACCGTTTAGAAGAATGATGAGGCATCATGACAACATTGCTATCATTAAGTTTGTTACAAACAGCTTTGTCCCAATTCGATTTCAATTCATATGGTTCTTGTTGCTGGGTCGTGTGGATTGCGTTCATTTAACGCCGCCTTTCCTTGTTGATCTTGTTTATCATATTTTAAGTTAAATAAATAGAAGGTTCGAATTCAAACACTTTTTGGTGACATTGATTTTGCTGATTGAATATATACTGAATGATTATTAAGCGTAAGCGTTTTCTGTTTCTAATTTCCTTTTTATTTCCAAGAGACTTAGCACGGTTTGCACTTGACAGTAACGTCCATGAACAGGCACAATCAAACCGAGCCTGCAACATTTTCAATTTTGCCGTGTTGGGCTTTCTTTAGGGATTCTTATTTTCTCTATATTAGCATCCAACACAATTTGACTTAACAATATCGTATGAACTTGCAACAGGAGTTTTTGTATCGGCTTTTCGATTATCCATTGATAGTTAACACGGACAGTGAATTTTTGAAATTCACAAATTTATCAAACGTATGCTGCTAAATTTTTTACAAGCAGTAGTGCCATTCCATGAAATGGGCGTATGTAGAAGAATGCGTGTGCCCTAATTGAAAAAAACAATGTGCGGATTTGAAGAAAATGGAATTTTGAA